AATATATATAAATATTACAAATTAGGTTTAAATTTGGCTTAAATTTGGTTTATTGATGACAGCAAAGCACTTGATCTTCCTAAGAGGAGGAATGCTTTCATGGAGGACTTTCTAAGGGAAATGGCTCATATACACGGGGAAAACCATGAAAACGCCCATGCAGGCAGCCCATTCGCAATTAGGTTTAGGAAAATTTAGGCAACAGATAGCAAATAAATTAACAATAATAATACACTGGATTACCAGTATATTACTACAAGAAGATGAGTCATCTTCACAACTGCTGCTTCCATGCTCGCAGTGTCATTTGCTCGTGCAATATTAGTCACTACTTTGTGTGCCGGAGGTTTCACATGAAGGGCCTCTACACCTGAGTATAAAATGTTCGTGTTCCAGTAAACACTGAATTCAGAGGGGCAAGAATAACTCTTTCATGGTGGATAACTCAGTTACCAAATGGCTTTCTAAGGCTCTATTCAAGCCGTTGTATAAATGTCATAATTCCCAACTAACAACGCTTTGTAGTCAGACCTTGCTATGTCACAAAAACTAGTTTGGGCATTAAGCTTGAAGTTTTCAACTTTGTGCCGACTTGATATAAGAGTCGGCCAATCAGAGCATATACATAAAACCTATTGAGAGAGAAAGCTGTAGACACATACATGCATGCACAAATTTAGCTTCTCTAATTGGCTATGGCTTAGACCCTCTCTCGCAGGTGTGAATGGAACTCCCACATTTTGTGCCTTATGATTATGCGTCTATGACATTTATACCATCATGTGAACGGAGCCTTAGGATGGCATACTAAGAAGATGCACTGTCTTGTGGGGATAAGCAATTTATACTCCTAAGCCTAAAAAAAAAAAAAAACTTGGAAAAAAAAGATCACGACTTAAATTTGTTGTCTAATTGCTCTAATTTGAGGCACATTATGAGAGGAAAGCAAAGGTAGTAATCAGAATTATTTAAAAAATTTTATCCTTATATTTTTCTTAAAAATTCTGTAAAATAATAAAATTTTTGGTTTTCCTCAAATAAATATATATGGAAAAAATAACAGCCACATAATCACAGATTTCATTTTGTTATATTTTATTAACAAAATTTAAATTATTAAAAATCTCTTTCATGAAGGGAACATAAAACATCATGAAAACAATGAAAAAGAAGCAATATTTAAAAAAGATAGTAGGCTTATTGATGAGGCTCCCATCAAAAGAATCAAACCCCAAAATATTTTCATTTGCTTCAGTGTCCCGACTCTGAAAATTTCACTGATTTCAATGAATATATTTTTAAAAAAAATCTTTTATTTTCAAGTTCTTTCATGCAAAACGTCCAAATTTGGTACAAATCAAATTCATCCCCCTCTTTTTGATAGCTACAATATTATATTTAACAGTTTTAATAGCTATCAGTATGTAAACAACATAATGTAACACCATAAAAGAAAAACATAAATGATGACATTTTAATTTTGGCATAGAGAAATACATATTTACCCCAAAAGAGAGCTTGTATTTCTACCTTCTACGTCAGAGTCAATAACTGAAATGTCCAGATCAGAACTGAGAAGAAAAGAACCATAATTAGTTTAATTAAGATACAATAACACACCGACCAAGTATTAATTTGAGAGTCAAGCAACAAAAATCAGCATCATATTTTGAAATATTCACTATTTGAAAATATAACGCTGATTTTGGTTGCTTGACTTCTAAATTAATACATAATTAGTTAACCATAATTAAGTAACTGTAATATCATGCACAGCTAATATCTATTTTAAAAATAAACCAACTTACCTCAGGAAAGCCTGGTTTGTCTTAGGAACATTAGCTGTAACTTCTGGCGTAGAAAAGAAAAGTCAAATTTTTCACTTCCGGACCTAAGAATGAAAGAAATAAACTGCTATAACATAATTAAAAAAAAAAAAAAAAAAAAAAAACATGAATAAATAAATAACACATAACAAATTTAAGCATTAAGCTATGTATGACTACCACCCATCTCAGACAGTGCGACAGATATTGCTGTATACTGTTTCGCCATACCCTGTGTAGCTATTATATCATGCTGTATAACCACAGTTTAGAAAAATTACAAAATGTGTTATTTATATCTATCTAAAATGGTACATTACTACATGATTTGTAAGAATAAATTAGAGGGCTCTGCGAATGAAATTCCTTCCAATTAAAAAATGTAGGAATAAAGAAAATGCAGGAATTGCAAATGCAGAAATGAAAAAGGGGATTATATTTTTTTTTGTACAGAATCCAGATGACATATTTTTCAACATTTTAGAAATTTCAATATTAATTTTAGGGGCATAAAATATTAGGCCCCTAAAAGCAGAATATAGTTTTTAAATGTTCAGATAATCTTCCTATGAGAAGAATTCCTTTGAGAAGTACACATCTGAACCACAATTAAAAAACATGTACAAGAACAGAGCTGAGGACTTCTGTTTGCAGAAAGTCTGTCACATAACATATGAAAAGTTTCTTATTGGTAGATTTTTGATCAGACAGATATTTTATTGTTATACAGAGAAAGCATTCACTCCCTTTATACTGGAGATAATTCAATTTGGACAATGGCAAAAAGGCTAAGCAAGCCTGAGCGTATTGGTCCCATTCTTGGCACTAGTTTGGTTTACGCTCAAAATACACAGGCAGATATTTTCTAATTACCTGCATCCCAATATCAATTCAATTCAGCTTTTGGTGGAATTTAACCATTTGTGACATATTTTTCAAAAACTACACACTTCACAACATGCATACATGACAAATACACAGAACCATAAATAAACAAGCAATAATATATATTTATATATAAATTTTACTAAATGATCATAAAATGTTCCAACGCTAAAAGAAAGTTTTAACATCCAAGTAAATGACATAATAAAAAAAAGCAAGTTGAACAGCGAGCACATGAATAAATGTGCATACACCTGTAAAAATATACCATAGGTAACTGACAAAGCATTTCGTAGCAAACATATGACTATAAAAAATTTCCAATAATACATGTAATGATGGTGAATTCAATTTAGATCGCAAGAACATGCTCATACTTTTGAAAAGATTCAATTATTTCAGCAATTCCTTGTGAATTGGAATTTACCCTTTCAATATTTCCCAACAATTTAGTGTGAATGGAGGAATAAATTCTTATAACAGAATTGAACAATTATTAGCATCCCCTCATACACACACATACAAAAAAAAAAAAAAAAAAAAAAAAAAAAAAAAAAAAAAAAAAAAACTTACTTTGTAAAAAAATCATCCGGGCAATGATTCTCCTTTGACACAGATGCAGTTGTATCAATAATTTCTGACCTTCAATAAAAAAAAAATACGCATATTTTACTTCGGAATTAACTTACTACGAAATCATAAACACGGGGTAGTCGATATAAAGAATAAATTATTTCTCACCTTTCGAAAACATCCGCTTGTTCGGAATCTTCCACATCTCGGGAATTTAATTTCATATTTTTTTCTTGAGCTCGACGTTTACGCTGAATTCTGGATCTTTTATTAAAACCAGGATGTTTTTTCGGTCGTCCTTGATATTTTCGCATATTTTTTGCAAACTGACCACAGTACAAATAAATGTAAACAAAACGAGTGCGGAAGAATAGCAATGCAATAGGGTTGCCGTAAACGTCATTCTGCTGACAGCTGACAATGTTTAGTGAAAAACTGTGTATAAAGGAATATATGAAACGCTTCTAAATATTATTTAGAAAAAAAATATGATTTATAACTGATATCAAAATCAATTACTTCGTGAATTTTTGCAGAAATAAGATTACAATGTTAAATTTTAACTCGTAGCGCCATCTATTGATGGCTTTCCAAACTACACATTAAAATTACGTATTTCAAACTAATTTTTTTAAAATATAATATTTAAGTAAATTTCATTTCAAACCTGATTCTAACATTGTGATTCGAAAACTGACCTATTGCTTTATATTTCTGCCAAATTGCACGCAACATAGTTTCTTAATTAGCGATTCTGCGTGTAAAAAAATTTTTAGTATTGTAATGCTGCCGTAGTAGACCACCTTAACAGTCAGGTGGTCTTTGCGCTGCTGTAATTATTCTGTAAGCAGTAACTGTAGATTGCATTGCTGTAGTTATTCTCTTAACAAAATACGTAGAATGTAATGCTTAATTTGACATGATGAGTAATAAGAAGCTGTAAACATTTGCAGCATAGATTATATATCATATGGCCTTTTTCTATTGACTATTGATACACTGCATAACTGCAGTATGGGTGGGATTAGAAACTAGTATTATTTTTGTTTTCTCCACGGGACCAGTATTAAAACCTGTTTCTCGGTTTTCTGGTAGTGAAACTTTATTTTCCATGTTAGTGTTGAGATTTTAAGAAAGTACGATGATGCAGAATATAGTAATCTTTTAAATAGGGCTCATAACATAAGCCTTGCGTTGTCTATGTTTTTTAACTGTAGGTAACTGATTTTTATGTATTTTTTAGCGCTGAATTCGAAAATGATCTCCATTTTCTGCCACCAAGTCAGAATTTTATACAAATCGCATTGTAAGCAAATTAAAATTGTTAAAAAATAAAAAAAATAAAAAAAAAACATGTGAGACTTTAAAACAAACATAAAACCTTTTTTTAGGGAGGGTTATACTGAGCATTCTCATAGCAAAGTAGTTACGGGGTCTGATGCAGAGAGGGGGTTCATAGACCCTTTCAGTTTTCTAATGAAAATTGGTATAAATAAGCGTAATTTTCTATTTTGCTGCATTTTTCTTTTATTTCCAATACGTTTTTTTTAAATTAGTACATTGGGTCGTTCGTTAAAACCCTCTCCGCCCTTTCTCTCTAGATGCCCCCTCATAAATTTACAGACTTTTTTTTTAAATGGAAGATGAAGAGACGGTGGGAGGATTGGACGAAGATTTGGAATTCATTCTGGATAAAATTAAATACGGCGATCATTAATGGATTACACGCAGCGATCTCAAAATATCTATGCTGTAAGACAGCAAGGAGGGTACGCAAAATTTTCTTGTTTTTTGTGTGAATAGGATAACTGCGACAGAGAACTCATAAGATAAAGAAAGGCTACTCCAAATGGCTTCATTAGAACCTAAAATGTGCTCAGAAAAGCTATCATAGATCCGAATAAAATTCTCCTTCCACCTTTGCGTATCAAGTTAGGCTTGATGAAGCGATCTGTCAAAGTCTTGCCGAAAGGAGGTCTACAAATGAACAACAAAAGAAGGCCGCGACAAATTTCCAGTCTTATCAACCGCCAAACAAAAAGAGGTTGTCTTTACTGATCTTGACATTAGAAAACTTCTCAAAGGTAGTAATTTTGACGAATAAATGTAAGTTGCTGAAAAGAAGCCTAAACAGCCTTTAAAAACGTAGTAATCAAGCTTCTAGGCCATAAGAAAGAACCGAACATTTAAGTCAGTCTTTAGAACATGCGGCCAAAAGTACACAAAAATTTTGGCTGTTTCAAAATTTAGGTTCATTTCCAAAATACACACTTAAGAGAGATTTCATCAAAACAGCAAAGAAATAAGTTGACAGCTCCGTATCTCCCGTTCTACTGGACTGAATGACGAAATTTAACTTGCTTTTTTCATGTCTCGAAAGCGCGACATAGGATGTGTATTAGATTTATATATAGCGTTTTTCTGATATAGGTATTTTGACACAAAATTGGACTTTTTCTGAAATGACATGCCAGTTCCCCCCCCCCCCATATTTTGATTCTACGGTTCAAATTATGCGAAACTGCTAAGTTATGTAAAAATCGCACGAGTAGTTTTTAAAAAGTTAGCTCTCAAAATTTTAGCTCCTACATGTTAATTCAATGGTATACATTTATTAATCTCTCTCTCTCTCTTTTTTTTTTTTTATTAAAACTTAGTTTATTCTTCCTTACACATTTCGAAATTTAGGTTCATTCCAAATAAATTTCGCCCAATTTTTTGATTTATTTTTAAAATTTGTATTTTTAAATAATTTTTATAAATTTTTCGAAGACAATTTTGATTTATAACCTATAAAATTTTTGCCATCATCTTAAAGATGTATTTCTAAGCATAACTGCAAAAAATTAGGGTTTTTTTATTCAAAATTTCCTAAGCTATACGTGAATTTACATTCTGGCGCGTTTTAAAATTTGGCATATTTTATATGCCATAATAACGAAAATGTTGTTTACGCATTTTGTTGAAATTATTTAAAAGTATGAACGATAACTTTTATTCGGATGATGAACAAGAAAGAAAAAGGAAAGGAAAATAGGTTGCTATAAATTAAGATTTTCGCCAAGTGAATTATTCTTGGCTCAAACTGAAAAAAATGCGCCAAAGTAAATTTTTGAATTTCTCTGTAAATTTCGCACCACATTTTACAAAATTTAATATTTAGGCATAATTTGAGTTGTAGAATCGAAATGTGGAAAAAAATTGGCATGTCATTTCGGAAAAAGTCGGATTTTATGTCAAAATACCTATATTAGCACAAAGATATATATATATCTGATACATATCCTAAGTCGCGCTTTTGAGATATGCAAAACGCAATTTGAATTTCGTCAATCGGACGAATGGAACGGGAGGTATGGAACTGTATCTCTTTTTTTTTTTTTTTTTTTTTTTTTTTTTTCCCGCTAGTGTACATGATTTTGGCATAAGCTAAAAAAATTGAATTCTGAGAATAAACGTTTTTAAGTCTCACATTTTCGTTCTTTTTCAACTTTTTGAAAGTTGCCATTTTCGGAAAACCCTGATGTGATGAGAAAAAATGAACGTCATTTTCTGATTCAGTGCTTCCCCCCCCCAAAAAAAAAAGAACATAGGAATCAATTAACGGAAGTTTAAAAAAAAATGACATAACACAAATTTTGAAGGCTTGTGTTGTCAATTATCAGTAAATCCGTTTTTAAATAACTGTAATATCTATTGCAACTTCATTTTGCATACTTTAGTTTTTTGATAAAAGGTTTCTTTCGCTTGGAGAATTATGCAGTCTTCCATCTTTAGAAGAGATGTCCTCTGTAATAAATGTTTTTTATTGAAAGGGGACTTTAAATAATTTTATACGTTATTATCTTCTTCGCATAATTTTATAAGGTTAATATTTTATGTAATTAGTACCCCACCAAACTGGTTAAAAATAAGTGGATAAATATGGAATTTCACGCATGTAATGCTAAGCAAATCAGTGTCAATCCACACTGGTGTGAAAAAATTAAGGACGAAGTCGAAAAATTAGCATATCAGCTGAACGCAGAGCGGACAGAAAGACCAATCAGGAGATTAAGTAAGGTGATGTACGGTAGCACATGCGCAGATATGCAGGTAGACGTAATGGAGGAGTGTCTGAGTAGTAAAAAGCATGTTATCGGTGTAAGATCAGTATTTCTGGCAAAGAGATTGCACGCATAGCAGTTAAAATCACACCGAGTTGCTGCCTCAGCGAGAAATGGCGAATAATTAATCTGTTAGACGACATCTGGATGCTTTTACCCGAGGTCGAATCATTGGGAAGTTGGAGGAAGGCCGCAGTGTGACAAGTGTGGCTGCAGAGTTCGGAATTGCTCACAGCATCGTTTCACGACTTTGGAGACAATTTCAAACTACAGGAACAGCTAGCTATCCGGGGGTTTAGTAGTGGTCATTCACGAGGAACCACACCCGCAGATGACCGGTTTATTGCCTTACAGGCCAGAAGAAACAGGCGGCAGACAGCGGGAGAAATCGCTAGACGCACGACACAGGCGACTGGACGACCGATATCGCGTTTTACCGTGGCCAGAAGACTGCACAGTGGTGGTCTGTTTGCACGACGCCCTGTACGGTGTGTACCTCTTACGCCTGCCCATCGGAGAAGGCGTTCTCTGTGGTGCCGGGAACACCGGAATTGGAGAGACAATGAATGGGGACGAGAACTCTTTACTGATGAGAGCAGATTCAGTCTGAGTAGCGATTCTCATGGCATACTCATCTGGAGAGAGCGGGGAAGCCGCAATCATCCCTCGAACATCATTGAAAGGGACAGGTATGGAGGTGGCGGTGTTCTCGTTTGGGGAGGCATCATGCTTGGCAGTCATACAGACCTTCACATCTTCGACGCAGGTTCAGTCAACGGGACCCGTTGTTGTAACGAGATTCTTCTTCCATATGTGCGTCATTTTAGAGGCGCTAGGGGTCCGAAGTTCCTTTTAATGGACGACAATGCACCATGCCATCGCACAGTAGCTGCCGAACAGCTGTTAGAGAGTGAGGATATTGAACGTATGGATTGGCCGGCACGATCTCCGGATATCGAGCATGTATGGGATTTTCTAGGCAGACGCTTGGCAGCTCGTACCTTACCACCAGTAACGATTCCATAGCTTCGATTGACGCTGCAAGGCGAATGGGCAGCAATGCCTCAACAACTCTTTGACACCCTCATTCTCAGCATGGGCAGACGCTGTGAAACCTGCCTAGGAGTCAGGGGAGATCATATCCCCTATTAAAGACCGGATGTTTCTTGCTGGACACCCATCACAGGGATGTTTCGGCCTTCAGTCGCATTGCGCGCCATGCTACTTTTTCAATAAAGCTTCTTTTTATCCCTCTGATTTCTCTTTTAGTAAGTGTTGCTTACATTACTCATGTCCTTACGTATTGGGGATCTTACGGTATTAAATGTGTTGATTTGGAAAGCTTTTGTACAAAGTTATATTGAAAAAACCGTCTCGTCCTTAATTTTTGCACACCAGTGTATGTAGCATTAGAGTAGTATGATGAATTTAATGATTGCTTTACTACTATGAGTCGGTCTGCATCCATTTCCGAATACTGCGACAATTGTTATTACTAGAAACATGTTTGCATAATCAGCAAGGAATTTTTAAAAGCTTTTCTGGACATAAATTGAGGTTTAAAAAATTTGCATGCAGTATTTGAAATAATATTTGAATATATATAGACTAATATATTAGAGTTCTGAACTGGCTGTTTTATGGCTATTACAAGTACATTCTCTTCCGTAAGTTAAGCACTCGGCAATAAGTTCACTGGAGTTTAAAAAGATTTATATGCTTTGATTTGATTCAAAGGCTTGATTTGAGATACAGATTTGATTTATGAATATGTAAATTATCACATTCCCAGGTATTTACTGTTGTGATGTAGACTATCTATTTACGATTCCATGGTTCGAATTGGATTAATTTGTTCTGTTTACATTGTTATATAAAATAAAATGGAAATGAAACTGGTACGATGATGTTCATCTCAAGAAATTAATTGAATTTTTTATTGTAGTAATTTAATTAATCTTTAATTGTAGAATCAAAGAGAATTCATTTGTCTTTGATTTTAGTTTTATATTAATTTATTATTATTATAGTTTTTTTTTTAAGTTTTAATCTAACAATGAAAATTTTCTTTTCTAGAACCATGACCATGTAGTAGCGATAAAATGTGTCCCAAAGGGAAAACTAGGGAAGTCACAACCTCTGATTGGCAAAGAGATCAAAATACTTCAGGTATATATTTTCTTCTATGCATTTCTTTTCTTTTTATTTACAAAAAAAAAGAACTTGAAAGTAAGTTTTTTTAAAATTTTTTTTGTTCGTAAATTTTGGATTAAATAAATGAAAAATTTGGCTGGCTTTAATTCAAACAGTATGTTCATCAGTGCCAGTTGTTTACTTTTCGGCTATGACAAGTGTACTGTTTTTAAAAACATAGAATTGTATTAAATTCAGCGTAAGTAAAATATTAGGTTTTGACTAACTCAAAATTTTACTCTAAGGTAGTCCATTGGCATATTTATTCATTAGTATTGCATATATCCTGGGGCGTTCTCTTATCGCTTTAAGTAGTTAACGTATTTTCATGTTTCCCAGCTGCGAAAAACCTAATGGTTTGTGTGAGTGTATAATAATAGAATGAAGTTTAAGGGAATGTGTTTAGGTATGATTTTAATTTCACAAATGCTCATTTCACTCTCATGGTCCTTCCAAAAAGTTTCATATGGTACGAAAATGGGCCAGTTTTTCTTGGTAAATTCTTTAGGAAGGTATTCTTCCCTTGAGCTGCTAGCTGTAGTGTCCTTATCCGTAATCAAATAATCCATGCCATAAACCAGTTTGCCTTTTAATCCATGTTATCCTCGTTTTAATTTGCAACTGCAAATAAGTCTGTTTTTTCAACGCCTTTGGTGTAAGAAAACAACAAATAGAACGTAGTATATACTTCGTAAATAAGTGTACAATTATTTACGAAGTATATACTACGCAAATAAGATTATGTTACGTAACGTTGACTTTTAATGATGCTATTCCCTCAAAAGATCTTGTCTTTAGAGGTTAGTATTTTTGCATTTAATCTTTTGACTACTGCTTAAATCCAAAGCATAGAGCGACACCGGCTCTAAACTCGGAGGAGTGTAGAAGAATGAAGATCTAAATTTAACGTTTACATAACATATGAAGTATGAGTTCAGGTTTAGTAGGCAATAATACTTAACCTGAACTCATACTATCGAGATCTCAAAATTGAACGCCTATTACCGACTGAGCGTATCGTCAAACGAAATGAATTTTATTGCAAAAACATGAAGAAATCTTCCATCATAAAGAAAAAAATTGCCGAGCATTTCAATATTTTAAATTACGCAGTTCTTACCAGATTGATTTGAAACATACCTCTCTCAAGATTAAAAGTAAAGATCCGCCATTTTTATCTATTGAAGATGACGGCGATTGGCAATTTTATAAAAAGATTGCTGACAGGAAAATTAGTGATTGTGAAGTGCAGTCGTTTCCTGTTATTTACAAGTTTTGCGACTCTGAATGCTTTTGATGAAAGCGATGATGGAACACTTAATAAGGTATTTCTCCCTCCTTCTTAGCATGCCTTCGCAGTGTAGTGGTCAGCACGCTGGCGCGTATTCCAGAGTTCCGTGGTTCGATTCCCGGCGAGGGCATTGCTCATTTTTCATCTCTCCTGCTTGAAAATTAACCTAATGCCTCTACACACTAATCAAGTGAAGACAAAAACACTAAGCTTAATATATGAAGAAGAGGATCGTTACTGTAATATATCTAAGACGGAGATTGTTTAGATTTCTTAGCTTATAATATAATTTTTAGAATGCTTCAAAGAAGATCTAAAAAAAAAAGGGTGACGATCAAAGAAAATAAGTTGAATAATGTCTGGAAAACCTACGTGATTTCGAAGAAGGTTGTTTACACGTAAATGATGGAATCTCATTATGTAAACTAGCCGCTGAAAAATGGCAAAAGAGTTAAAGCCCTTTTTTTTTTTTTTTTTTTTTTTTTTTTTTTAAATTTCCCAAGAGAAGAAAGTGTCGAAGGTGTGAAAGGCTGGAATTTTCCCGTTTTAAAGATTCACCAGTTTAATTAAAAGAAAGAAGATAAAATTATGAGATTACGGATATTTTTTTAATTATTATTATTGAGCTATCTTACAATTAAGAAGTAAAAGTTGTGTTTGAGTTATCATATAGACATTATTTAAAGACTGTTGTGGAAAGTTATAGAACCAGATTCTGACCTACCTCTGTTTCTTCAATTGCCTGAAGTTTGTGCACAGGTATATGTCTGTCTCAAATTTGCTCAATGTTACAGAATGTTAATTAGAAGTAAAGACAACTTATAGCCTTTGTTTAGGTTAAGACAGCTTGTAGCCACGTAGGTAGTTACAAAAAGTACCTAAAACATCTAAAATCGAAATTAAATCAGAAACCAAATGATTTTTTTAAGGAAACCAGAAAATTTTTCTACCACGGCTAAAAGCATTGGAAAAGATGAGAAAAATTTGAAATAAACTAATATCTAGAAAAGAACCTCATTTGCCGATTATCCAAATTCTTCTACCACGAAAATATTCACAGTTAACCAGATGGATCTTCGCCGGTTGGAGGGGGGAATCGGATATTTCTTTGGAAAACTAAGATTTGAACTGAAATTAAAACTTTCTTGAACAGTATTAAATCTTTTAACATGCATTGTTTAAAAAAAGTTAAGTTTGTGTACTGCAGAACGATGGGAAAATTACTGTGGTAAGCCATCAAAATAAAGAAATATAACCGGGGGGGAAGAAAAGAAAAAAGAAGAGAACACTTAGAACGTATTGTTAAATCATCCTGTAAAATAAATTGCTAAATTATAAAATCAGTTAAGTGTTAATCTTTTGTTACATATTGACTCCTTTCGAAATTCAAAAGTAATTAACATTAACAAAAACGTTTCCTGTTTTGAAATGTGTGCTTCTTGTTTTGAATGCTGATTTAATTTACATATCGAATGAATTTATTCTCAGGTAAATTATTAATCGTATTTTCTTTTTTAATTTGTGACCGGTGACTCGGAAATCTATTGTTCTTAAAATTCTTACAAAGTCATGAATTTTTCGATGATGAGGCAGTGTTTTGCACATCTCTCGTACTCCTATATGCAATTAGATAGTAGGCAACTGACAGCCAGAAGATAAAAGTACTATTGGAACTGATTACTACAATCATGGAATGTAGTTATCTTATTAATTATAAAAATTCTGGCCTTAGATTTTGACATTAGAAATATCTTTACAGAAGGTCTTCCAAAATCTTTGGACCTTTAAGTAGCGTTGCGCTGTCGTGCATTGTGTCTGACACGCAACTTAGCAGATACTGTAGCGTACCCCAAACTCGACACAATGTGGACTGAGAGACTTTTGAGTTTCCGAAAAGTCGGGTTTTAAAGAATAAGTGGTAGGTTTTTCAGAACTCTTTTAATATTTAGTCCTTTGACGTCCAGCACCTAAATCCATGGTAATTTTGTTTACACTTTCCCCTTTGTCCAGTCTCTTAATCTAGTTTCATTTCCATTGTCACGTTAATTTGTTTTCTTTCTTTTGGAACGACATTTTCAATTCACAGAATATCAAAAGTTCGCAAAAATATGTAACACTTATACTCCTGGATGTGAAATGAGGAGCGATATCACAAAACTTCAGATAGTTTCCTAACATTTCGCAACAATAGAAAGGAATGTCAGCCAGCGGCCAACCGCTACCTGACTTTCTTCGTATGTATCCTCGAAAGAAGCAAACAGTTTTGCCAAATATTCTAACATATTTTGAAATTTGTTAGGCAGTTTCAAGAATTAATGTACAATGCGAAAATAGCAAAAATTACAGAAAAAGAACACTGAAATCTTTGAACAAAACAGGAAAGGCAATAATTATATTCGCTGTATGAAATATTTGCTCTGTTTGGCTTAGAGTTATCTCAAAAATGTACCTAAAAAGCTATCGAGTTATACGGAATGTCGAGATATCGGGAGTCGAGTTTGCGGAACTCTACTGTATTGCCATTGCGTGAGATTTGATATCTTAAATATATCTTCGATCAGCTTTACAAATAGCTGTTATTGGAGTGCTGCGGGCATAATATCTTTTAATTTATCATTCCTGTTTAAAGAATTTGTAATTGTTGAACAAACAGTGATTTAAAGGTGATAATCTCACTTCATTATAATTTTAATCATTTCTTAATGTTATATGTGATTGATTTAATTTTAAATGCATTTAATTTATGATTTATTTAATTTATATGCTATAAACTGCATTTAAATTATATTCTATCTAAATGATAATTGTGAGCATCTGTAATATTATTGGAAATGAAAAAAAGATATTTCTGACGTCACTTATCTAAGGATATTTAGTTTTACTTTTGTAAAGTTGATTAACACTTCTTTTTTGAGGTAGGCATAAAAATAAAACCTAATCTAAAATATTCTGTACAAAGTATAACACCGAGTGCATTTATTTTGTTGATTTAAAATCCTTTTCTTTAAAAACCAGCCTAATACAGTAAGCTGCTGCACATACAGATTTAAAAAAAAAAAAAAAAAAAAAAAAAATGCCCATTTTAAGGTGGAGAAAAAGTTGCTTCAGACCTTGTATAACCTTCGATAAATTTCAACGTATGTTCCAAGTTGAATAACAAGAAAAATTTTCGCTGTATCTGAAGCGATGCGAAATATAGAAATCGAATGACATTTATGAAAGATAATGTTAGTTAAAAATAAATAAGTGAGTAATAATAATAATAATAAAACAGTAACTGAATGGAAATTATTTCGGGCTAGAAGTGAAATAAGGAATATGAAAATTCATTGAGAATTACATTTCTTACGTTCGAATCAGTTGAAAAAATTGGAAGCAAAGTTTGGTTCCTCAAGCTGCATATGTATTTTTAGCGTTGTCCTATTAACTAATGTATTATAAAATCATTTAATAAAAGAAAGAAAACCCCAAATCGACGTGTGTTGTCAGTGGATTGGATTCGAAAGAGTCGTTTGGAGAGGGTATGTGTTTGGAGGTACAGCCATTATCATTGTTCGCCTCTCCTCCCCTTCCAAATACTGAAGAACAGAGCATTGTTTAACGTTTCACGGACTTCAGAATTCAATCCGGTGTAGTTAATTGGGAAACTCTGAACAGCATTTATGATTAAGTAATTCTTAAGTTT